TATATATATATATATATATATATATATATATATATATATATATATATATATATATATATATATATATATATATATATATATATATATATATATATATATATATATATATATATATATATATATATATATATATATATATATATATATATATATATATATATATATATATATATATATATATATATATATATATATATATATATATATATATATATATATATATATATATATATATATATATATATATATATATATATATATATATATATATATATATATATATATATATATATATATATATATATATATATATATATATATATATATATATATATATATATATATATATATATATATATATATATTTATTTATACAGCAGTTCTGTCTGGTTCTTGAATCCGATTGGATAGCCGTGTGATATTTTGTCAGTAACATCACACAAAGGCCTCTTCACCCTTCACCTTTGTGTATTACTCCGCTCACATACAGCCAGCAACATGCAGAGAGACGCTACAGTTCGACAAATATTACTGATGTTAGACAACAAAATGTACTTTTGAGGCTTTTTTAGTCGAGAATGTAGTTGTTTAGATTGCAACTATGCAGTTTATTTATAAAGATAATGCCAATTTTAAAATATTTACAATTACTGAGAGAGCTCGTCGGCGGCCATTAGCCTACCATAGTGTAGTAGAACAAAGACGGTTGACATTGTCTATCCACAAAATGGCACCAGGACTGCATAATAAGCCCTTGCTTAGATTTAAACTGTTGTGTGTTTCCCTGAGCGCGAAGCTGAAAAATGGAAGTGTCACGGTTTTTAAGGTGGACCGGATAGAGTCAATAAGTAGCTGCGAATTAGAAGCTGGATTCAGCCTCGTCCCTCCTTATCGAAAACACAACAGCAATCTGGTAGTGTTTGTGCTGCTTTTTACGGGGTTAATTATTGTGATATTGTAACGGTCGCTTAATGTTTGATATGCATTGTGTATAAATGTCATGTCCCCTTTAAAAGGACTTCTTCTGTGGTTGTTTTACCTTTGAGATGTAAACAGGCATGTATGGGAGCTCAGATCACACATGTGCCACAGTTTAATTTAAGTCTATAAATACTGGTGAAATTAGTGCACGACGTGTGTATGAGAGTGTGTGTGTGTGTGTGTGTACCTGGATGGACTGTATGGACTGAAAGGACTGCAGTCCGAGCGCGGGCACCTCTGCAGTTCCTGCTCCGGTCAGCGGGGGCAGTGCGCTGTACACCTGCACCACTGAACTGCTGTTGCTAGATGATACCTGTGAGAGGGGCGTGGCCTGCACTTGGGGGAGGGGCTGAGGAGGCTGCAGGTACGAGGATCCTGCATGCATGCTCAGATTACTCTGAAAAACACAACAGTTCATTGAAACGCCATTTATAGACAGTCAGTAGTCTAAAAAAACGCAGCATTATAAAACGTCTAGTCAAAGTTTGTGATGATGTGATTGTCCTGGCATCTGGTCAGTTTGTCTTCAGTGTTGTTCACCTGTATGGAACCCTGCATGGCTGTCATTGGCTGATCCAGAGAGCTGAAGGCAGAAATGGCGGACATCAACACCTCATCGCTGACCAGCACGTTCCCCTGCACCAGAGTGTGTGTGAGCGGAGACGGCGGCACCGTGATGTATGTGGACACCTGGAGGAGCGCACAAACACACACGTTACATCCCATATGACACACTATGGACCCTTTTCACATGTCTGGGTTTCCCAGCAGCGGAAGTCATCATAGTCAGGTAAACTTGAAGTGCACATGACAGCAAAACTAACCATATTGATTTTGTTTGCTCACATTGCTCATTTTGTTGTGAACAATTCAACCCAAGCTCATTCTGGAAACGTAGCCCCGCAGACGTTTCTGGAGACCGCGATTTACGTGGCCAGAGGTACGTAAAGGCCGTGTTTGGTTTTTTTCGAGCGAACGCTGCGGGGCGGTGTGGCGCCGCTCCGCCCCTCCTCTACGCGCTCGCCGGCCGACGGCTCGCCTCCGAGTGGAGGGCATTCCCGATCCAATCAGTTTGTCCGCTTAGCTCACAGCGTTGCGTAGGCGGAGCGGAGGACCCGGAGGAGGAGGAGCCGGGAGTCGGCCGCGGTGGACGATGACCGGGATCGAGTCCGGGGAACAGCAGGTTCCGGAAATCAGGTAAGACGAAAAACGAAATCCAAAAAATGAGGGCGAGAACGCGGCGGGATCCGAAAACGCGGTCGAAATCGAAGATGAGGGCTTTTGCTTTTTTTTTTTTTTTCCCGATCCAACGCCTTTTCGCGCAAGAACGGCGCGGGCGAGAACGCCGCGCTCTCCCGAGAGGCGCCCGCCCAAGACGCGAAAAAGCGTGCACAGCGGCCTCTTGCGGATCCGCGAAAACAAAAAAACGCTCGAATACGTACCTCTCGGGACGTAAATCGCGGTCTGCAGAAATGTCCGCGGGGCTACGTTTCCACAATAAGCCTGGGTTGGAACAATTCATATGTGCATGTCATTAGGAACAAAAAATAGTTTGCTCTTGCAATCTTTAATTAAATTCTGAATATACACGCGTCCTGTTTGTTTTCCAACCCAGGCTCATTCTGATTATGTACCCCTATATGCATTTCTGGAGAGCACCAAATATGTCCCAGAGCTTTTGTTTTCGTGAATCCAACAGAGGCCGCTGTGTATGCTTTTTCAGATCTCTAATATCTCTCGCGAGTGTCATTTGGGCCTGCTATTCTTGCATAAATTCACCAGAGGCCACTGTCGACTGACTGACTTACTCAATAGCCGCGTTTCCACTATTGTGCCTAAAGCGAGCAAACCAGGTGCCAGTCGCATTTCCACTGTCACTTCCAGGGGCCTAATCGGGCCAAAGCTGGGCTTTCTCGGGGGCAGTGGCCGGCCTTTTCGGCCTGCCGAATACTTTGGGCCAAAGAGGGCCAGCTGGGGCTTCGGGGTGGAGTGAAAGGAGAAATCAGGTACCTGTCTGTTAGCGGCGCTGATGGAGGGCACGGAGGTGTAGGTGTTGTTGGAGGCCAGGGAAACCGTGGCCAGAGAAGGGGTATTGGACTGACACTGCTCACGCTTGTGGGTCATGAACGCCGGCAGAGAGTTGAACTGCTTCTTACATTTCCCACAGAGAAACACGTCATCATCATCTGCAGATGTAATGGGAGATGCATTCTATTATATAATAACAACATTAAAATGATAGTAATATTAATACTAAAATGTAATAGCATGTAAATACAAATTAGAGCTGTTATTGTTTACTGAAACTGTTAGTAATAATTTGTAAACTTGGAAATAAAGAAAAGATAAAGATAAAATGAGTTATGTGTTAGATTAGATTTAAAATAAGTAAAAGTTGTTATACAGTAA